ACCCGGCCTGGGGAATTTATCTTTAACAGATCGGTTTACTTCTGTTGTCTAGAAACTGACTGTCAAGTGACTGCTGCTTCCTGAAAAGGGGAACAATAATTGTTCATTATCCACAGATTGTTTTGGATCCAGCTTTTGGCATTATGTCTGCACTGAATAAAAGCAACAACGTCAGCTTGTCGGGGCTGCTGCACTTAGGCCACTAGAACTGGTCGGTCCCCTAGCTGTTCTTACACTGCACAGCTGTGTCTGAATACTCCTTTCATCCATTGCTCGGCCAGGTTCTGCAGGACAGAGCCAGCAGCTCACTTCCAAGCTTACCCTGACATCAAGGTCCAACCCATAAACGGGAGAAGGAGAAGGCATTTCTGCTTCTTAACCACACTGGGGCTCAGAAGTGACCTGAAGTGGGCAGGTGTGGTGGCTCATGCCTGTAATCCCAGCACTTTAGGAGGCCAAGGTGGGCAGATCACCTGAGGTCAGGAGTTTAAGACCAGCCTGACCAACACGGAGAAACCCCACCTCTACCAAAAATACAAATTAGCTGGGTGTGGTGGTGCATGCCTGTGATCCCAGCTACTCAGGAGGCTGAGGCAGAATTGCTTGAACCCCGGAGGCGGAGGTTGCAGTGAGCCAAGATCATGCTATTGCACTCCAGTCTGGTCAACAGAAGCAAAACTCCATTAAAAAAAAAAAAAAAAAGAGGTGACCTGAAGTCAATTCTGCCCACATTTCATCAGTGGGAACTACTCACGCGGTTGGGTGGAGTTGGGAATGATGGTCTCTGGCTAGGAAGTCACCACCTAGCAACTGAACCTCATCCCTATGCCCTGGAAGGGGAGCACAGGTCTTTCTTTGCTGGGCAGGTATTTCTACCACACTGTGTGGTCTTGGGCAGTTGTTGAGCTCCTCTGGGGCTCAGTTTCTTCACCAATAAAATTGGGCAATGAATGGGTTCTCTCTTTCTCAAAGAATTAAAATTGACCTATGATTCGATCCAGCAATCCCACTACTAGAAATATACCCAAAGGCCAAGACATTGTTTTATCAAAAGATACCCGCACTTACATGTTTATCACAGCACTATCCCCAACAGCAAAGCCATGGGATCCATCGAAATATGCACTGGAAGACTGGATAAAGAAAACGTGGTGCACGTGCACCACGGAATCCTATGCAGCCATAAAAATCAAATCAAATCATGGTTTTTGCAGCAACATGGATGCAGCTGGAGGTCATAATCCTAAGTGAATTAATACAGAAACAGAAAATCGAATGCTGCGTGTTTCACTTTCAAGTGGGAGCTAAAGCTTAGATACTCACGGACATAAAAATGGGAATAATGGACACAGGAACTCCCGAAGGCAGGAGCGAAGGAGGAAGGCAAGGGTTGAAAACCCACTGTTGGGTGCTATGCTCACTATTTGAGTTTTGAGTTCAGTGGAGGCCCAAGCCCTAGCGTGATGCAATATACCCATGCAATAAACCTGCAAATGGACGCCCCCCCCGAATCCATAATTTAAAAACATAGAACAAATTTTAAAAATAGGCTCTCTCTCATTGTTGTGGCCATGCCTGAATGAGCGCTCAGACAATGGCCCGAAGCAGAGTCAGGGCTCATAGTGATCACCGTGTTCATGGTTTGCTGAGAAGCTGCTTTGGGTGGCGCAAGGCTCTTAATCCTTACCACAAACCATCGGGTGCAGGTAACCTTTTGTTACAGAACACAAGGAAGTTCAGAGAGGAGAGTGAATGGCCAAAGTCCACACAGTCAGAAGTGTTGAGTTTCTGAGCTCAAGCATCCACCCACCTCAGCTCCATCCGTGTTCCTACCAAGGACATGATCTCATTCCTTTTATGGCTGCATAGTATTCCATGGTATATATGTACCACATTCTCTTTATCCAGTCTGCCACTGATGGGCACTTCAGTTGATTCCATGTCTTTGCTATTGTGAATAGTGCTGCAGTGAACATACATGGTCATGTGTCTTTATAATAGAACGTGTTATATTTCTTTGGGTATATACCCAGTAATGGGATTGCTGGGTTGAGTAGTATTTCTGTTTTTAGGTCTCTGAGGAATCATCACACTGTCTTCCACAATGGATGAACTAATTTACACTCCCACCAGCTGTGTCTAAGAGTTCCCTTTCCTCTGCAATCTTGCCAGCATGGGTTACTTTTTAACTTTTTATTCATTTATTTTTTTGAGACAGAGTCTCACTCTGTCACCCAGGCTGGAGTGCAGTGGTGCAATCTCAGCTTACTGCAACCTCTGCCTCCCAGGTTCAAGCAATTCTCCTGCCTCAGCCTCCTGAGTAGCTGGGATTACAGGAGCCCACCACCACGCCTGGCTAATTTTTTTTTTTTTTTTTTTTTTAGTAGAGATGGGGTTCACCATGTTGACCAGGATGGTCTCGATCTCTTGACCTCGTGATCCACCCGCCTTGGCCTCCCAAAGTGCTGGGATTACAGGCTTGAGCCACTGCGCCCCCCCCGCCCCTTTTTTCTTTAGTAGAGATGGGGTTTCACCATGTTGGCCAGTTTGGTTTCGAACTTGACTTTTTAATAATAGTCATTCTGACTGGTGTGAGGCTGTATTTCATTGTGGTTTTGATTTGTATTTCTCTAATGATCAGTGATGTTGAGCTTTTTTTCACATGATTATTGGCCACATGTATGTGAAAGTGACACATTTAATTGAGTACCTATGACCCTGTTTGCCCACCCTTCCCTTCCCTCTTCCATCAAGGACACTGCTTCAGGTTATGCACAATTCCAGGGCACCATTCACACAGTGACAACGTGAATTGCTGGGGAGGGGGCAAGATTTCTACAGTGCACAACCTGTAGAAATGGAGTGAGGGCTCTGCTGTTGTCTTCCCCTTTTCATTCATTCATTCATTCATTCAATAAATATCTATTGAGGCTGGGACTTGGGGACTCATGCCTATACTTCCAGCACTTTGGGAGGCCAAGGATGGAGGATAACAGGAGTTCAAGGCTAGCCTGGGCAACATAGTGAGAACCTGTCTCTACAAAAAATACAAAAATTAGCCAGGCGTGACTGTGCGCACCTGTAGTCCCAGTTACTTGGGAGGCTGAGGTGGGAGGATTGCTTAAGTCCAGGAGATGGAGGCTGTAGTGAGCTGCAGTGAGCTATGATTGCACCACTGCACTCCAGCCTAGGTGACAGAGTGAGACTCTGTTTCTAAAAAAAAAAAAATTCTCTGCCTTGTAGGTGGTGGAGACATAGCAGGAGATGAGACAAACACATCCCTGCCTGTATGGCAAATATTTAAACTTACGAACACAAAGATAAAATGTATAGATAGGTCAGAAATAAGCATATAATTGCAAGTCACACTCATTTCTCTTTCTCTGCTATTCCTGCTCTTGCCTTCCCTCTTCTGCTTCTCCTCTCTCCGTCACAGACACCTCCCCCCAACTTCCCTCTGCGGTCACTGACAGATACCCCTGATTCCTTCCTGTCTTCCTCCTCCCCATTGTGTTAGAGCTGATTTGTATAAGCCTGGAAAGGCCATTGCTTTCATAGCTAGGGATTTCATCAACCCTGATGGCAAACTGTTGCTTAAAATTAGACATGCTGTGAGTATTTACACCACAGGAATAGGCAACACCACAAGGTGGGCTTTTTTTTTTTTTTTTTTTTTTTTGAGATGGAGCCTCTTTCTGTCTCTGGACTGGAGTGCAGTGGCATGATCTTGGCTCACAGCAACCACCGCCTCCCAGGTTCAAGCAATTCTCCTACCTCAGCCTCCCGAGTAGCTGGGACTAGAGGCATGCGCCACCATGCCTGGCTAATTTTTGTATTTTTAGTAGAGATGGGGTTTCACCATGTTGGCTAGGCTGGTCTTGATCTCATGATCCTCCCAAAGTGCTGGGATTACAGGCTTGAGCCACCACACCCGGCCACAGGGTAGGATTGTGGGAATTGTTTTTCTGAAAATGTGTTTTTCTGGCACACCAGTGCCTTTCCACATCCACTTCCAGCAAATCAAATCTGCATTTTCCAAATGCACCATAACTCTTTCCTAGATATTCAGTCTCCACGCAGCCTCTGGCTGAGTCTTTCCCAGTGGTAGGAAATTGGAGACTTGGGTCCTATGTTGTACTGTGAGGGTAGAGAATAGAAGAGACAGCATGAGAGAAAGGCATGAAAGGGAACCAAAAGAAAAGCAATATAGGAAGGAAAGAGAAAGAACGGAGAAGTCGGAAGCCAGTGGAGGGTAGAAACTAGGCAGGAAGACATGGGACAAGCCAATGCCCACTGCACAACTTCCCCACAGGAAGTTGAGCCATTTCCCCACCTGGGGTACAGGGGTGGCCAGGGAGCCCATGAGAAATGAGGAAACTGCCTTTCCAAACTACTGCAGAAACTGGGTGGGGGTGGGAATCCACATAGCTGGGCTCAGGAGGAAAGAGGGCTGGAAGTCTGAACCAGGGGGACCCTAGGGTCAAGATGCCACAGTTTCTAACTGTGGAGGACCTGGGGGCCTGGACTCCTGGGTCTAGGGGAGGAAGATTGGAGGTCTGGACTCCTGGGTCTGAGGGGGGAGGGGCTGGGGGCCTGGACTCCTGGGTCTGAGGGAGGAGGGGCTGGGGTCTGGATTCCTGGGTCTGAGAAAGGAGGGGCTGGGGGCCTGGACTCCTGGGTCTGAGGGAGGAGGGGCTGGGGTCTGGATTCCTGGGTCTGAGAGAGGAGGACCTGGGGGCCTGGACTCCTGGGTCTAGGGGAGGAAGATTGGAGGTCTGGACTCCTGGGTCTGAGTGGGGAGGGGCTGGGGGTCTGGACTCCTGGGTCTGAGGGAGGAGGGGCTGGGGGCCTGGACCCGGGGGGGGGGGCTGAGGAAGAAAGGGGGTCCCTGATAGGCCGTTGGGGCAGTTAAGACTCAGGGTGGGGCCCAGGCTTCTTTAAAAGGCCCTCCCCTCCCCACCCTTTCCTGGACTGGCTGCTTAAGAGCTGGTATAAAGGACTTGTTTCCTGGTGAAAAAGCAACAAGACGGTGCCAGCCACAGACAGGTCATGAGTCCGGTCTTCCTGCTGGTCCTCCTGGGGGTTACCTTCCCACTGCCAGGTAAGCGATGACCCTAGCCTGGAGGGGACTTTCCTGGAGGCTACACACGGGAACCGTGCTGAGATGGATTTGCTCTCTCCACTCCAGGAGGGCAGGCGCTGGTCTGCCAGCTGGGAACAATTCATGGTGTGTGGAATGTATCCGTGCTGCCCCTGTCGTGGACCCCTAAGGAGACCACCTGCGCCGGCGGCTGGGGGTGCCAGGACACGCTGGTGTTCATAGAGAGCGGTGAGAAGGCCCTGCCCACTCGGCCCCTGGAACTCTGTGCTGGGACTCGGGAGCCACCTCCCCGGGAGGAGCGACTCCTCGGGTCCCGGTGATCCCCTTTCCAGCCTCTCAGCCTACGCCACGTTGCAGCGTCTCCTTCCAGGACCCCGGAGGCCTGACCTCCATCCTTGCTTGCTTCCCTCTCTCGGTCCAGGACCCCACGTGAGCGTGGTGCTCTCCAAGGGCTGCACTCAGGCCGGTGACCAGGCGCCCCGCGTCACTGAGCACCGGATGGGCCCCGGCCTCTCCGTGACCTCCTACACCCACGTGTGCCGCCAGGATGACCGCTGCAACAACCTCATCACCTCCGCCCCGCTCTGGGCCCCGCCGCCACCAGCAGGTACCTGCGGGAGGAGAGGGAGGGGCTGCCAGGAGGGGGGTCGGCTGAGCGCAGAGGGCTGGTTATAGAGTCCGTCCCGCCCTCGCTCGCTGTCCTGCTCCTGGCTCGTTCCACTCCTCCGCTGACTGCTCCCTGGCCGCCGCCCCGCACCTCGCCTTCCTTCCCCACTCACTCCTGATCCTTTCACCCACCCATCCCACCCAGGACTCCTCGCACCCCTCCGCTTCTAAGAGCAAACAGGTGATTTCGGATTTGAAACCACCATTAACTGGGTGATCCTGGCTGCTGCTTTTTTTTCTTCTTGTATTCTGTTACGTTTGGTTCAACAAGGTCTCTGTAGGTTTTTTGCATTTCCTCTTCCTAAGGGAGATTGACCTGTAACTTTGAAGTTTCTATGGCTGGTGTTCTAAAGAGTCTGGGGAGATGTTTTTCGCTTCTTCTATTGGAACAGCTTGTGAGCTCAGAAGTTTCCTGTTCTTAGAGGTTTAGCGCATTTAGAGGTGAAGCCACTGGCTCCTTCCAGGGTACTCACTGGCTCCCATGACCAGAGTCTGCCTCTGTGTCTCAGACTTTGTTGAAAGGTTCAGACTTGACCATGTCTGAGCCTCCGTCTGGCCTCAACAGGCCCCCTCCTCCACCCTGCCTACCCCACTTGCCCCCCAAGACCTCCCCCTGCACCTTTTTTTGAGACAGAGTCTGGCTCTGTCACCCAGGCTGGAGTGCAGTGGTGCAGTCTCGGCTCACTGCAACCTCCGCCTCCTGGATTCAAGTGATTCTCCTGCCTCAGCCTCCCGAGTAGCTGGGACTACAGGCATGTGCCACCACACCCCGCTAATTTTTTCCATATTTTTAGTAGAGACAGGGTTTCACCATGTTGGCCAGGCTGGTCTCAAACCCCAGACCTTGTGATCTGCCTGCCTTGGTCTCCCAAAGTGCTGGGATTACAGGCATGAGCCACCGAGCGCGGCCGCCCCCAAGACCCCCTTCTGTACCCAGCCCCAGGTGCCTTATCCAGACCTCCTGTTCTCTCTGCCCTCCTCTTTCATTGGTTACACTTCTTTATTTTCCCACAGCCAGATCCCATGAGGGGAGCCGCAGAAAGGCCCTTTGGGAAGACTGAGCAGGTTGACTCTTGAGGCCAGCAAAAGCGGGTGCAGAGAAGGTATCTGATCACATCTGGGGCCCTCTCAGTGCCCCCTCACTCTGTGTCACTTCCCCAGACCCAGGGTCCCTGAGGTGCCCAGTCTGCTTGTCTCCGGAAGTCTGTCTGGAGAGCACAGAAGAGATCTGCCCCAGAGGAAGCACAGACTGCTATGATGGACTCCTCAGGCTCACAGGAGGTAACCCTGGCACATCGGGGCCCTGGGGGACTGAACGGAAAGGTCCGGGGACCGAGGTCTTAGTCTCTGGGAGCAAGGGTGAGCTGAGGCACGGCATGAGACCCAGAGGAGGGTGGGCCTGGCTTCCAGAGCTATGCCTGCCTCTGAGGGTTAGGTGGTCTTCAGGACAGCATCAGACTCTCCCTCTCTCCCCGCTTTCTGCAGGGGGCATCTCCTCCAATCTGAGAGTCCAGGGATGCATGAGCCAGCCAGGCTGCAACCTGCTCAATGGGACCCGGGAAGTTGGGCCCGTGGGTATGACTGAGACCTGCAGTCCCATGAGGCATCCAGAGCCACAGCACCAAAGCCGGAAGGGGAAAGGTGAGGGTGCAGGGTGGACTGCTTGCATGTGCTGGGGCCCCTGCTGGCTCTCATGCTGCTGGGAGTGCTGGGCTGCTTCCGTTTCAGTGTCTCCACATTCCTGGCCTTGGGTAACCCTAGGTCTCCCACTTTCCTAGGCCACCCTAACCTCTCCACCACCCTCAGCACCCCCGCCCCCACCTGTGGTGCTGGAGTGCCCCAGCAGCCTTGCCTGCACAGGAGAGAACATCAGAGAGAAAATCAAGGGTGCTTCATGTGTGACAGAGAAAGCAAGAGTTAAACGAGGACATTGAGAGGGTCCCTGCTTGCCCATTTAGATGCTGCCCTGGAAGAGAGTGCCAGGGAATTTCTCCATAAGAAGGGCTCCAAGGCGGCCAGGTGCAGTGGCTCATGCCTGTAATCCCAGCACTTTAGGAGGCTGAGGTGGGCAGATCACAAGGTCAGGAGTTTGAGACTAACCTGACCAACATAGTGAAACTCCGTCTCTACTAAAAATACAAAAATTAGCTGGGCATGGTGGTGGGTGCCTGTAGTCCCAGCTATTTGGGAGGCTGAGGCAGGAGAATTGCTTGAGCCTGGGAGGCAGAGGTTGCACTGAGCCAAGATTGCACCATTGTACTCCAGCCTGGGCAACAAGAGTGAAACTCCATCTCAGAAAAAAAGAAAAGAAAAGAAAAGAAAAGTGCTCCAAGGCACCAGGAAGCCAGGGCAGGGAGGCGGAGGTCTTACAGGAATCATAGCTTCCCTCCTAAAAGCAAAGTCTTCCCTGCCCGAGCCTCAGTGTCCTTGTCTGCCCACACCACACTGGAGTTGTGTGAGTTCTGCACACCTTTCTCTGTGCATTTGCTCTTTCTCTCTGACTAGGCTGGGAGCCCGAGGCCAGGGGCTTGGTGTCTCTGGCACCAGGGTTTCCGGCCTTGGGTAGCTCAGGTGCCAGCTCAGGAAGGGTACCAGGAGGTGTTTGCTCAAGTGAGGGCATGCAGCGCTCCCAGGAGGCCCCCCCAAGGAGTCAGACTCTGTCTTTACCTGAAGGACTTCTGGGACTAGGAGGGGGAGGTGCCACAGACACAGATGGTCACAGCTTGAGGTGATCAGGGCTGTGGCAAACAGGGATGTGGGGCCTAGGGCAGCTCAGAGGAGGAAGATGCTGATGTCCTGGGGCATAGAGAGTTAAGGAGGGCTTCATAGAGGAGGTGGCCTGTGAACTGTGTGTTAAAGATGACCTGAAGCTCATGATAGAAGAGGAAGAGGACATTGGTGGCAGAGGAAACAGTGTGTAGCATCTGCAGAGGACTGGAGGTGGCAGTGAGCCTGCTGTTTTCAAGAAGAGTCCCTCACTCCACCTGAGAAGGACTCATCGAGATGAGGGTGTACAGTGGGGATTGGGGGTGATTAGAAGTTTTCCAGGTGGACAGGGTGGGTGTGGGCATTGAAGAGGAAGCTGATCCAAGTCAAAGGAACAGCAGGTGTGAGGCCAAGGAGGAAAGGACCTGGTGTGCCTTTGGAATGGACACTGGTGGCGGAGGGGGAGGTAAGTGGGGAACCTGGTGGTCGCTCAAGTACATAAAAGCCAGGCTCAGGGGTGGACCCTCTCCTGAAGGCTGGGGAGCCATGGAAGATTGTGGAGCAGGGAAAGGCAGGGTCTGAGACATGTTCCTTTCCTTTTGACTGATGCTGGTGTTAGGGTCTGGCCCTGGTCTCTGGGACCAGGTGACACTGATAATCCTGAAGGTATTTCAGAAACAAATCAGACCCAACACATGCCACACACACAGCCCATCATAAGCACAGCAGACACCAATGCATCACACCATGCCACATACACACCACACATCCCATACCACACATGCTCCCCATGCCCCTGACATACCTCACATGGAATACAATTTTCACACAGAGCACACAACACACACAACACACACAAATGCATCACACAATTGCACAATCACTATATGTACATGCAGTGTGTGTGTCATGTCCACACTATATGTCAGGCACCACGCATACATACTCTCCCCCTCAATATATCTCACATGCAATACATACCGCACACAACCCAATCCATACAACACACATGGCATGCCACTCACACCACACGCAAACAAAACACAAATACACGGAACACACACCATGCCAAACACACCTACCTCCTGAGGCTCTCCCTGCGCCCACCTGCCACTCTTCCTCTCGCTCCCTTCTCCACCCAGCAGGCAGAGGGAGGCTGGGTAACCCTAAGTCAGTTCCTGTGACTCCTCTGCTCTGAAGACTCCAGGAGGTTCCCATTCTGGAGATTAAAATTCTAAGCCCTTCCAGTGGCCCAGGAGGGGCCCTGGTCCCGATGGAAGCAGAGGAGGTGGTGACATGGGGTTGGGTTCTGAAGATTTTACACAGCTCAAGCCAGCAAGATTTCCTGAGGGATACGGTGGGAAGGAACCAGGTGGTCAAAGACAACACCACCGTTTTCAGGAAAACCAGCACAGATCAAGGTGGGGGTGATGGGGGCGGGGAAAGAAGGGTGGGAGAAGGGAGCAGGAGCCGTGATTCTGATTTCATCATCCGTGAAGTATGCAAATGAGCAGCCCTCCTGGGCAATATCCATTCTGCAGGTCCCACGTGCTAGTAGAAGCTGGGGGCTCAGTCTAGGAGTCCCTGCATCAAGGGACCCATCCCCCCTGCTCTGTGATGGCCATGAGGGAAGGCGGGGGCCACACACTAAAGCCCTGAGGGCCTCCGGGCCAGGGTAGCAGAGGATGGTCATCAGTACATCTCCCTCCTGCCCCCAACACTGACCCTGAGGGTCCAGAGTCCCTAGGTTCCCAGCCCACCTCTGCCACTCACAAGCTGAGTGGCACGGGCAGCTACTGAGCAACACTGCCTCTGTTTCCCTTGTTGCAAATGAGGGTGCCGTTGTGATCCCTACTACTGTGGGGGTGCTGTGAGGCATCCCAGAGGAGCTGAGCCCCCTGGGACCTTAGATGGGTGGGTCTGTGGGAAGCAATGACGTCAGCCAGGCGCAGAGGGCAGCATCTTTTGTTTGGAACATAGAGTTTTGCAGCTGAAAGATACGAGAAAGGTTTCAGATTCTGAATTTATTATTGCAATGAGGACCTTAAAGTTCAGATGGGGAAGCAGAGCCGGGCAGAGGAAAAGGAGAAGCTTCCATTGCTCTCACACCTGAAGCCAGGAATGGCCATTCCCACAGGTGTGAGAGGACGTCCCTGCAGGTGTTCAGGCAGAAACGAGGGAACGATGCAGGTGGGGTTTGGACTCCCAAGTCCCCTCTGAATCTGTGCTTGAGGGACTCCATGGTCAGGTCACCTGGAGTGTGACTCAACAGCATGATCACCTTCCCCAGCCCAGGACCTGGATGACAGACATGGTGGGTTCCTGGCTTGCACAGACCCTGGTTTTCCTCTCCCCAGATTTTCTGACCTGCTATCGAGGTGTCACCATTGAGAAGCATAAGAACTTGAGCCAAGAACCCACTGAATGGACCACAACTAACACCGAGACTTGTGGGGCTGGGCAGGTGTGTCAGGAGACGCTGCTGCTGGTAGATGTAGGTGCGTAGCCTGATGTAGAAGGTGAACACCTGTCCCAAGTCCCCAGCAGCTCCCTCCACCCACCCCTCCCCCACCCCGATCCTTTCCCCTGAATTTCCTGCTCAGCTCTCTTCACATCTGCAATTTTCTTTTTTCTTTCTTTCTTTCTTTTTTTTTTTTGAGGTGGAGTTTTGCTCTTGTTACCCAGGCTGGAGTGCAATGGCACGATCCTGGCTCACTACAACCTCCACCTCCCAGGTTCGAGCGATTCTCTTGCCTCAGCCTCCCGAGTAGCGGGGATTACAGGCATGTGCCACCACAGCTGGCTAATTTTGTATTTTTAGTAGAGATAGGGTTTTGCTTTGTTGGTCCGTCTGGTCTCCATCTCCTGACCTCATGATCCACTCACCTCAGCCTCCCAAAGTGCTGGGATTACAGGCGTGAGCCACTGTGCCTGGCTCACATCTGCAATTTTCAATCCAACTCTTATTCTCTCCACATCTTGGGTCCCTCCTAAGAAAACTGGGCGTGGCCTGGCACGGTGGCTCACGCCTGTAATCTCAGCACTTTGGGAGGCCAAGGCAGGTGGATCATGAGGTCAAGAAATCGAGACCATCCTGGTCAACATGGTGAAGCCCCATCTCTACTAAAAATACAAAAAATTAGCTGGGCACGGTGGCGCGTGCCTGTAATCCCAGCTACTCAGGAAGCTGAGGCAGGAGAATTGCCTGAACCCAGGAGGCGGAAGTTGCGGTGAGCCGAGATCGCGCCATTGCACTCCAGCCTGGGTAACAAGAGCGAAACTCCGTCTCAAAAAAAAAAAAAAAAAAAAAAAAGGAAGAAAACTGGGCGTGAAGCAATGACAATGACAGTGTCTACCTTTCTGGGTAGAGGTGATGATGTATGCGGTAATCCCTGCGCAGGGCGGAGAACCGTGCCGGCACTGAGGAATCTCAGTGGCTTCTTCGTACATTCCGGAGATGTTTATCCAGCACTTGTAGGCGCTGCAGATTCCATGCCATCTGTATTCCTACAGCTTTATATGCCTTGAGAAACAGGAAACAAAAGGAGCGAAGTATGGGGATGCGGATCTGAGCTCTGGAGAGAAGTCTGGCGAGGAAAGGGAGACAGGAAAAGTGAGGTGAAGGCTGCAATTTTTTTTCCTTTTTTTTTTTTTTTTTTGAGACGAGTCTCACCCTGTTGCCCTGGCTGGAGTGCAATGGCATGATCTTGGTTCACTATAACCTCCACTTCCTGGGTTCAAACGATTCTCCTGACTCAGCTTCTCGAGTAGTTGGGATTACAGGCATGTGCCACCATACCTGGTTAAGCTTTGTAATTTTAGTAGAGATGGGGTTTTACCATGTTGGCCAGGCTGGTCTCGAACTCCCGACCTCATGATCCGCTTGCCTTGGCTTCCCAAAGTGCTGGGATTACAGACGTGAGCCACTGCACTCAGCCTGAAGGCTGCAATTTTAAGATGACTGCTCAGGGGAGACTCATGGAGAAGGTGACATTTGAAAGAGAACTGGGCAAAGGGAGAGCTTTGGGGAGGACCTAAGCCCCGGCCTCCGTCTTCACCCCATGCTAAATATGACCCATGCAGTTGTGATCAGGGTATCTGCATTCACCCTCTGCTGGGGGGTATTGTGGAGGGCAGAGGGTCCAGCTCCAGAGCCCCTGCTGCCCCGGGAGCCACCGGGTCCCCCAGCCAAGCTTTCCCTCTCACCCTCAGGACTCACATCAACCCTGGTGGGGAGCAAAGGCTGCAGTGCTGTTGGGGCTAAGGATTCCCAGACGACCTCTATCCACTCACGCCCTCATGGGGTGCTCGTGGCCTCCTATTCCCACTTCTGCTCCTCCAGCCTGTGCAATGGAGCCAGCAGCAGCAGCGTCCTGCTGAACTCTCTCCCTCCTCAAGGTATGGCATCCAGGGCTGTGGAGAGACGAGGCCCAGACACACAGACACTTGGGCCCAAGGTGGGTGGCTGCTCTGAGCACAGAGCCTTGCACTCCCACCTTCCCTCCGCTCCCCAGCTGCCCCTGTCCCAGGAGACCGGCAGTGTCCTACCTGTATACAGCCCTTGGGAACCTGCTCATCTGACTCCCCCAAAATGACCTGCCCCAGGGGTGCTGATCATTGTTACGATGGGTACATTCATCTCTCAGGAGGTCAGTACTGCAAGCGGGGTCCTGAGGATGAAGACACGGGGGACCTGGGCTCCTGGGTCTGAGGGAGGAGGGGCTGGGGGCCTGGGCTCCTGGGTCTGAGGGAGGAGGGGCTGGGGGCCTGGGCTTCTGGGTCTGAGGGAGGAGGGGCTGGGGGCCTGGACTCCTGGGTCTGAGGGAGGAGGGGCTGGGGACCTGGACTCCTGGGTCTGAGGGAGGAGGGGCTGGGGGCCTGGGCTCCTGGGTCTGAGGGAGGAGGGGCTGGGGGCCTGGGCTTCTGGGTCTGAGGGAGGAGGGGCTGGGGGCCTGGACTCCTGGGTCTGAGGGAGGAGGGGCTGGGGGCCTGGACTCCTGGGTCTGAGGGAGGAGGGGCTGGGGCCTGGACTCCTGGGTCTGAGGGAGGAGGGGCTGGGGCCTGGACTCCTGGGTCTGAGGGAGGAGGGTCTGGGGGCCTGGGCTCCTGGGTCTGAGGGAGGAGGGGCTGGGGCCTGGACTCCCAGGTTTATGAATTTGGCTGGGCTGTACTTGGTGTCGTTTCTGACTTGGTCTGCCCCCTCCAGGTGGGGTGGTCACCACAGTGAGCATTCAGGGCTGCGTGGCTCAACCTTCCGGCTCCTTGTTGAACCACACCAGGCAAATCGGGATCTTCTCTGCGCGTGAGAAGGGTGATGAGCAGCCTCCTGTCCCTAAGCCCCAGGGAGGTGGGACCGGGGGCTTGGAGTCTCTCACATGGGGGCTGGGGCTGGCGCTGGCCCTGGCGCTGTGGTGGGGGATGCTTTGTCCTTCCTGCTAACTTCATTTCCCCTATGATTGTTCACCCCTGCTGACCACCACACCCAAGCATCCTTCTGACCTCATACCCTCATGGCCTTGGACACCAAATTCTTTTCCCAGCCTGTCCATGAATTATCTTCCCCCCACACAACCATTCACGTCTGCTCACCTAATAAAGACACTGGGGAGGACCCGGAGCAGCCGGACTTGCCCTATGGGAGAGGGGACATTGGAGGAGTGGCTGCATGTATCTGATAATAAAGAGCCTGTCCTTTCTCCCGGTGCTGGGATCTCTCACTGTGAGGGACAGCAGGACACCCAGCGATCTAGCATGGGGGACGAGAGGAACCTGATGAGAAAACCACCATTCAAAGCCTGCCCTTTATTGGTCTGGTTCACGTCTCTAAACCAGCTTGGATGGTAGCAGAGCCTTCAGGGTACTCCAGCCAAGGGTATTTGGGCATCGCCATGACAAGGGAGGGGAGGATACCCTGAGAGGGGCCCTGCCACAAACAGGGGGCTCACCCCATCTGAGCAGCTGCAGGAGAGGTTAGTGCAGTCATCCTTGCTTCACGATGGGGATGTGTTGTGCGAAGTGTGTTGTTAGGTGATTTTGCTGTTCCTGCGGCAGTAGGGACATCACGGGGTGCACTTACACAAACCGGATGGTACTGCCATGGAATCCAAACCTTGATTCTTATGGGGAGTGAGTCTTGGATGGTCTTGTCCTAGAGTCCAGGGAAGGCCAATTGGAACCCTCAGTGTGTGCGTATCCCTGTGAGGACAAAGCTCAGTCCCCTCCAGGATGGGACGTGTCCTGTGTGGCCAGCCTGTCTGCAGTGGCCACATAGTCCTGCTGTAAAATGACGCCTTCCAGGGGCTGAGCCCCGGGATCTGCCTACCCCAGGCAGGGCTGGGTACCTACCGGTCAGTCCTGGGAGACTCGGTCCACTTGTGGTAAGCTCCATGGCAGTCCTCCCTGTCCATGTGGCCATCTGCACCTAGATCCCCTGAATAAACACTGAGGGACAGAGGCTGCCTGACACTGTCCACCAAACACCAAGAACCTCATCATCACAGGACGTGCTCTGAGCTTAAGGGTGGGACGGCAAAGCTCACACTTTGTGCCCATCCCCAGAGGAGCACCTGTGTCTACCCCTGCCTCAGTTTTACTCTCTTATTCTCTTCAAGTCCTTGACTATGTGGCCCACTCTGGGTACATTCAATGGACCCAAGTCCATCCCTCATTGCAGAACCCCTGAGGCTCTGCCCACCTGAAGGATTTCCCTACATCATTCCTCAGGGCCACCTGAAATGGGCACTAAGGCAGCTACTGTCTGTTTCTGCCGGGTGCCAGCTCACCGTGAGGACCCATCCATAAGCCTGGTCTGCCCTTTCCTCCTCTGTACGAGGTCATAGGGTTTCCCAGGAGCTCACAGATGTGGTAGAGAGGGGCAGGAGGAGAGGTCCCCTGGGAGCCACGGGAGCCTGAGACACTTGCTGACCTCGGACCTGCTCAGTGCTGACGCCATACTCAGCAGCCCCGTGGATGCTGGAGGCTGCTGTGCATGCCCCAAGTTATAGTTTGGTAGCTCAGCACCAGGACCTGAACTTGATTGCACTGGGCCCAGATATAAGCCAAGAGCTGCCTTCCAAATGAAGTTACTACCTGCAGGAGGAGGCGTGGAATTTCTCTAGAACCTGCAGTTCTGCACTATGAATCTTTTGGAGCTTGTGAAAAGCTCCATAAAATAATACACTGGATTTGAAACATACATGCTCTTACATTGTTGATTTCTCATTCAGGAGATACTGAGAATGATATTTTGCAACTCCAACTGGAGTAATTTACTGGGAAGCACTGAGCTTCATTTCTTTTCTTTTTCTTTTTTTTCTCTATTTTGAGACAGTCTCACTCTGTCGCCCAGGTTGGAGTGTGGTGGCACCATCTCAGCGCAATGCAACCTCCGCCTCCCAGGTTCAAGCAATTCTTCTACCTCAGCCTCCCAAGTAGCTGGGATTACAGGCACCTGCCACCTTGACTAGCTATATTTTGTGTGTGTTTTTAGTAGAGATGGGGTTTTGCCATGTTGGCCAGGCTGGTCTCAAACTCCTGACCTCAAATGGTCTGTCTGCCTTGGCCCCCAAAGTGCTGGGATTTCAGGCGTGAGCCCGTGGTTCATTTCTGTTATAATTCTATTGTGGTTTAAATGGCTCGTTCCTTCATAATTTGTGGTTATTCCCTCTACCGCCTATTGCTTACTTTCCACCTCTGTGATATTTACTGCATACGAATTTATCATTCCCCGATTTTACTTCTTCAAAGCCAGCATGGGGATTAGTCAAGTCTGATTTCCTCTTACAGGAAGAAGGGTTTTTCCTCCATCATATTTTTGTAACCAGGTTACAAACTTTTAAAAATTAATGGCAAGTAACTGGAAAAAAAAAAAAAAAGCGGAACTGTGGGCTACTGTGGACGAAGAAAGCATTGGAATGTAGATTTTCTTTGTTTTTTTACAGAGACATGAGCCAGTTTACACTCATTTAATTTCCAAATTATTCACGTGGGGTCCTAAGTCAATTTCTGCCAACAAAAAAACCAACTTGAAAAGCTGTTTAAATTCTACTAGTGGGACTCAAAAAGGTACAAAGGGGAAGACAGGGGTTAAGAAAAAGAGGAGAAAAGAGAAAGAGCGGCAGAGAAATGAAAACGTGACCTAAATGGGAGCCAGACCATGGAGTGCAGGAAAAGCAGGGGAGAGGGACAGAGTGTGCGGGGGGAGGGCTGCAGAGCTGAAGATCCACCTCTCTTCTCCGGACGCTGATCCCAGACACCAACTGAGCTTTTCACTGTGACCACACGCTCCTCAGGGTGACACAGGGTGGGGCCGCCTGCCCCGCCAGCCTTCCACAGCCCCTCTGCAGGGACTCTGACCAGCCCTCTACTCGAGTGACCTCCTTGAGCTTCCATTCCATCCACCGCCTCTTTCTTCTAGGTCAAGCATCTTCAACGGTCTGGAAACGTTTCTTTGCTTCCATTTGTCACCTTCTGCTCACTCGTCCACGTCCACTTCCATCTTCCCCTTTCTCTGACATTGCTTTTACTGTCATCAGCGTCTTCCTTTATTGCTAAACCTGCCAGGGACTCTCAGGTTCATTTGACACCGAAGGCCACTTCTCCTGGAATAACCTCTGTGAGGTAAATACAAATTTTAAAAAATGTTTTTAAGCCTGGTACAAAAAGGGAAAGAGATCCTTTTCTTTCACAGCATTTGATATTTTATTCATTCATTCATTCATTCATTCATCATTGATTGTCAGATTCCCCCTCTGTCGCCTCGGCTGGAGCGTAGTGGTGCCATCCAAGCTCTCTTGTAGCCTTGAACTCCTGGGCTCAAGCTATCCTCTCATCTCACCCTCCAAGTAGCTGGGACTACAGGCATATACCACAACATCTCACTGATTAATTATTTTTTTATGGAGATGGGATTTTTTTATAATGCCTAGGCTGGACTTGGTGAGCATTTGTTTTGTTTTTTTAGAAGAGGTGTAATCAAAAATCCTTTCTCTGCCCATGGAGATGTATGTTAGGCTTTCTAAAGCCTACTAAGCTTCTTACCTGCTGTACAACCCAGAACTGTTCTCCTCAAGGCCCTGGGAGCCCTCTCTTTGAAAGGCAGGCATGGGGCAGAGAGCGCGCTGTCTCTCAGTTTCTGTGTGAAGGAAAGAACCTCACTTCTGGAGGCATCTCACTCCCAGTTGCAAAACTACCTCCTGTCATAGATAAGAGAGGTTTGTTTTTCCTGTGGATAAAGCCAATTTACACAGAGAATCAACCCAGTTGCCAGGTGAATTTAGGATGAACTGCATGTGACAAATGGTGCTGTCACGTCCTCTCACCTGGGGACGAGTCACTATCTCGAGACCTTGTGTGTAACGGGTGGCACCTGCTTGGCTGAATGCAAGGGTGGGATTTCTTTCTGTCTTGGTAATCTCTTAGCAGACTGCATCACATTCTGGCTTAATGCTTATTCAGTAACAAGACAGGTTTCTTTTACTTCTGCATATGTGAGGGGGGTTTCTGGGCTGAGCAGAAACTGTTTTTTAATTCTATTTTTCCAACACCCTCCCACCCAAGCTACTCCAGCTTCTCTGAAGCTGCTTCCCCCAGGCTTTAAAGGAGGCTGCTCCCCGGGGTCCCTCCTGGTCCTGCCTCTCCTGGTTCATCTGATCTCCCAGCCTCGTGGCATCGGAGCTTCCCTCCCTTCCATGTGCTGACGCCTCTCAGATCTCAACTCTAGGCAGGACCCGGCTTCTCAGCTCCTCAGCTTACACACCCACCTTGGCATGGGCATCTGCACGGGGACGTCCTGCCGGGAACTCCTGGTGGAACATGATGTGTGTTCTCTGGCTGTCCTGCAGTTTTTAAACACCCCTGGGACATGTGGGGAATGTTCTGCCTTCCCAGGGAGGAAGCCAGAAAGTTAATTTTCCCGGCACTTCTTGTAGGAGGGCCACTGATACGGGCCCAGGCTTTCCCTGTCAGCTGCTCCCATGAAAGACTCGGGATCCCGGGCAGCACCAGGAAGCAGAGGGCGCACGGCACCAATTTGATTTTGGTTTTGTTTTTATTGTTTTGAATGGGGATAGGGGTGGCGGCCCAGAATCTTCTGGACTCCAGGGCCAGCCTCAGCAGTGCAGGGTGCAGGGTGTGGTTTCTGCCTCCTGCAGTGGCCGGAAGATCTTGACCGAAGCTGTCCTGTGCCTGTGGTTTGGTCCTTGCCCTGGGCCCAGTGGCCTCCAAGTCGGCTTCGTGGGGTCCTTTGGAGTTTGACAACCTTCCTACCGTGCTCTTTAACCAGTCCCCTTTCTGCTTCTTGCTGGAGTGAGCTGAGCGGTTTCCTACCAGTCGGCTCCTGTCTGGGGTTCTCCCCTAGGGAAGGGCACCCTGGGCACCTGACCCCTCAGCCGGATACCCAGCAGACGTTCTCATGCTTCCACTGTCCTTGTCCTTTATGTCTGGTGGTCACTCCTTTCTGTCCCTTCCATGTCCTGCATCTCTCTCTGCTGTGTCCTGTCCTCTGCATCCTGTGGCCTCCACCTGAGTCTGTGCCACCACCCATTCTCCCTTGAATGAATGCAGTGGTCTCCCTGGGTCTCCCTATCTCCATGGGGGCCACCAGCATCCAAGCCAGCTTCTTCCCTATGTCAGAGATGATCTTTCTCCGTCTCCTGCTCCTCTTTCCAGAGCTCCCAAGTACCCGGGGTGCACTCCA